TTGCCTTTTTTTTTTGAAAGAGATTGAAGTAATTGAATTTTGTTTCAGAAATTATAGATAACTCTTGAATGACTTCTCATATGCTTACCTGCTTTTGTCTTTAGAGGGGCTGCTGAATGAGGATGTTGCATCTGAAAACATGCTGCAGAGCCTGTATTTCACATTTTTCTGTCTTTTTTGCAATGTTATAATTTTGTGGAATATTTATTTTTTGGCTTATAGTGCTTTACAGGCTCTTTATACGTTTCACTAATTTTCAGCCAATCAGTACATTAATGAGAGCAATGGCCTATGTATTTCCAATCTGTTATGTTGCAGTTGCTCTGCTCTGGACATTGTAAGAATTTATGCCACCTGACTCTTATTTGCAAGACAATTTTGTAGTTGTTTTCTATCCTGTAATGGTTCACATACTTCAACAGTAGAATATCTTTGTAACATATTCTAATTTACAAAGGCTTTTCCCCCCTAGTTACCCAACTATGCTGTTAATATGTTAGTGCACCCCCTGATCTTGGTCTTGAGCTTTTTTTTTTTTTTTTTTATTATTATTTGTGATAACTTCCATCATACGCTGAGCTGGCTGAATTCCTGTGCACTGGAGTCCTTTTGTACTAATCTGTGTTCACTCTGTGTGGTCTTTAGGCTTCTGGTATGCCAGGAAACAGTGAAAGATTGCTGCTTATTGTTTTTCTTCAAACTTCTATTTTTGATCTTGTATCAGTCTTGTTTGGACACTGAAAGATCTAGGTTATGCAGATTTGTTGATTTTTTTTTTTTTTTAATATTCAGAAAATCTTGGAATTGTGTATATTTCATCTTAATAGACACATTCAATATAGTGCTCAATTTATGACTTTTTTTTTTGCCAGCTGTATGAAACGAGGTTAACATTGATTAGAAAAAGGGATAATTGCCAGTCTCCAAAGAGACGTTTGCTTGAGTTTTCACTCTTAGTTCCAGTAACAATTTTAAAATTAATTTGTTCTCCATTTCCAGTCTCACAAATTAATCTCTTGTGCAGTCTTGCTTTGTAAATTTGGCTGTTGGACTTATGACTTGAAGTTTACCCAGGTCAGAAAATACCGAACTGAAAATTATATGCATCGTGTTAGATACAGTGCTTGCAGTCTTATCAGTTCTTGATTACATCATGTTCCCATATTTTACATCGTATTAACTGTAGTCCTAGTAGAGATAAGAGCAAACTTTGACTGCTTGCTAGTATTCTAAAAGCTTTGCTAGCATAAGTGGGAAGTGCATCTGTTCTCACACTTTTGGGTGCTTATTCCTGAAGACGGTCCCATCTCTGAACAGCTGCTGAACAACCAGCGTCTGTTTATTTGCTTCAGCAGTGCTGGTCTACTTTTCCATTTCTATGATGCAACGGCAGTTAAGCCTACTAGACTGGTTATGGAAACATCGGTATGCTCTGCTGGCAAAACTGTGCTACTGTAGTAAAGACATTCATGAGCAAAGCAGTCTGTCAAGGGAAAATACAGCCTTGTTGGTGTATCTGTGCTTCAGCTAGCAGTATTTCATTGACACAGTTGTGTTGGTAAGGGGATAATGATGAGGAGTAAGTGGCTGGTACGTAACAATTAACAAGAAGGTTTTGCTAGTCAGAGTAGACATGGTGGCTTACTTGGATTCTGCTTAACTTTTTTTTTCAAATATAAAATCTTAATTCTTGCATGGGAATGCTGTAATTCTGCATTTGTTTTTTGTGACTGCCACTGATGACTTTTGACTAGTTTGAATTCTTGTCACATCAAAATATTTTATTCAAGTCCAGCTTAACTGAATCTTAAGAAGTGGGATGTACTACTCTTGTTGTCTTGCTGTTTGCTGAATGGAAATTTGTGCACAGATCTGGTAATAGTCTGTCAGCACTGTGAGGTTTTTTCTTACCTTTTTTTTTAAAAAAGAAAAAGCTGGGAAAGAAAAAATGCTGATATAAAAAAGTAGCATACAAAGCAAGATATTTTGGAACATTGTATTTAGTAGATATCTCCCTGAAGCAAAGTTAATTGGATGGGGAGAATTGTGAGATTGTCACGACAGCCTAATTCTGAGGCTTGGTCTTCACTTGGCTTCACAGGTGTGTCTGTGTGCCTGTAGGTTCTGATTATTTTCAGTAAGGTGGTTATGCCAGTAAAAGGCCTGTTAGGCAGTTTGTTCTGTTAAATTGCAATAAACTGCATGGATACAACTGCTGTGCCAAAGAAGTGATATGTGGGTTTGATTTTGATGGCCTAGCTATGAAAGTAAAACTTAACTGCAGGCAAAACTGAAGTCAATGTTCACAGCTACCAGTTTGCCTCACAGATAGTTAGCTTTTAAATCTCTATTGTGTCAGTGAACGCTTCCCATATATATTGCAGTGCAACATATAGCATGATTTTATTCTAAAAAAAATTTTTTTTGGAAGTGTGCACATCCATTTTGAGACTGTCTGAGATCTGTTGGCAGAAGTGCTAACAGTTTGGACTATAGATGTTCTGTTCCCTTTGTTATTTTCCAACTTGTAGACTTTAGCAGGTCGACACAATGTCTTGCCTGGAATTTCCTTGCATTCTAAAATTAGGAGAAGGATCTAGGAAACAATAGCAAATCAAGTCTCTAAACCTCCTGCTCTGGCTTGAACCTTTGTTGTCATTTAGACTTTCACCTACTTCCCTTCTTATTAAACTGATTTGCATTAGATAAACTGAATTTAAAAGAACTTACGCTGTTCAGTGTCAAGAGGACTTTTCTTTTTTCTTCTTCTTTTTTTTTTTTTTTTCTTTTTTTTTTTTTTTTCTTTTTTTTTTTTTTTTCTTTTTTTTTTTTTTTTCTTTTTTTTTTTTTTTTCTTTTTTTTTTTTTTTTCTTTTTTTTTTTTTTTTCTTTTTTTTTTTTTTTTCTTTTTTTTTTTTTTTTCTTTTTTTTTTTTTTTTCTTTTTTTTTTTTTTTTCTTTTTTTTTTTTTTTTCTTTTTTTTTTTTTTTTCTTTTTTTTTTTTTTTTCTTTTTTTTTTTTTTTTCTTTTTTTTTTTTTTTTCTTTTTTTTTTTTTTTTCTTTTTTTTTTTTTTTTCTTTTTTTTTTTTTTTTACTTATTATGGTCTCCTGTACTACTTGAGGACATCAGGAGTATGAATGTCATATCACTGCTGTTCATCCCAGAGCACTTCTCCCTTTCAGCATGGGGAGTGATGTAGAAGTACGAGAACCTCAGTGTCGCAAAGGCCATGCCGTGTTTTGCAGTCCCTCAAGCATGCACTTGCACCCAGCAGTGCTTCCTGACTGAGACATCTCTGTGGGAAACTGCAGAGGTTTTGATCTGCAGCAGAGAAGCTTCTCAAGTTCTCTTATTAGATGACATCATCATCCCTTCTAGTGGGGTGAGCAGCTCTCTTTATGGTCTGTGTATCTTTTCAGGGTTATGTTGTGCATCACCTTTTCATTCCTCACCCCTCCCTTGTCTGGTCTGTATTATTGTTCTTTGCAATGTTATGAGTGACAGTTGTGGGTGTCCTACCACCTCGAACCTTAACAAATCTCAGTATTCCCACAACTGTTCCTGGGGGGGTGTGTGTGTGTATGTGTGTGTCTGTTTCAGCAACCTTTTATGCAGATGAGTTACTGGGGAGGCAACTGAGAAGGAAGTTTCAGACCTCACATTCTTGTTTGATCCTTCTCAGTGTGGTCTGTGTAAGCAGCCCTGACTCTCTGGACATGTTTTCTGATCTGTAAGTAATCCTGCCATTACATCTTCTGTTGCTTGCTGTAACTCCCTCTCGGCCTCTGGCATAGGACAGACACGATGATTACATGGATTAGAAGTGGCTTCTGCGTGTTACTTCGTAGTCCTGAGTTTGTTCATAGCTTCATTGCTACTTTCTTTTGCATCACAGATTGAGTCACTAGCTTCTTAAGGTTTGGCCATCTAAAACTCATGAACTGTTAGAGGTGACTTAGAGCGCTTGTCTGTACTGTTGCAGAACCCAAACACATCATCAGAGAGAGTGTTACTATGTGTGCGCGCAACAGTCTCTGCCATTATCTATTTGTGGGTTAAGGGTAAACTTCTTAAAACTGTCTCAGTTTCTGCAGTGGCCCAATATTGTTTGTTTGTTATTCCCAGGCACTCTGAAATGATCCAGGAAATGCAGCAAACACCACAGCCTTGGTTTCCATCCTGTCCAGTATCCTATGTCTGACAACAGTTAGAAGCAGCTGCAAGATTTGTTCAGTTGATAATTATAGTATGCTGTGTTTAGTTAAGCTTACTGTGTTAAACTTACTGAGAGGCTGTTGATATCTAGAAGGAGTGTGACTGATGAATCTTGTAATTTGCCATTTATAGCTAATATAATTGACTTCTGAGAACAAGGGTAGGTGTGAAGAAGTTGCCTGTTGTTAGACTAGGAGACCTCTAGAGGTCCCTTCCAGTCAACATTTCTATGACTGTGGTGTTTCTAGAAAGGAGTTTTCTTTCCTTCTTTAATTCTTTGTTACTTGAGCCCTACAGATAGTTTGCCTGCTCCTTTTCTTTTCTGGTACAAATGGCACAAACGCTTTCCCTGTTGGTGTAGGGACCTGTCACCGATGTCCTGACAAAATGTACTGTACAGTAGATGTGCATGACAGTAGGGATGGGGATTCAGTCTGGAAGTCCCCTTAACATTTCTCCCTTGCTGGCTTCTCTGGACCAGACTCGTAAACACTGTGGTGTCTGCTGGCAAGTTGCTTTATAATGACTTCCTCATGATGCTAGTATTTGAATGCCTAATATGAACTGTTATCTTAGGAAACAAGGAACATCCATTTTGTATCCTACAGGGGAGGGAGAGGAGCAGTGGGATAATAGAGATGTTAAATGAATCCTCAAGCTAAGCTCATTAAATGCCTTTCTTCTTTCAGCCTCGTCTCAGACCTTAATCGGGGTTCTCATCTGTGCAGCAACTGCACTTTGAGGACCTTACCAGGACAGAGGTTATGAGAGAAGTTGTCTCTAGGGATGGATGCTCAGGTTTGCCCTGCGGTGAGAAGACAGGTTTCTCATAGAACTGCTGCTGACCCAGTTTTGTTCTCTCCTGTCACAGCCTTTCTTTAGGCTTCTGAACCTCCGCAAGCTGGGTCTGAGTGACAATGAAATCCAGAGACTTCCCCCTGAGGTTGCCAACTTCATGCAACTGGTGGAACTGGACATCTCCCGTAACGGTAAGGTCAAAGCTAAATGGGGAGTGGGTGCCCCACAGCCCTGCTTCTCTCAGTGTAGTAGTACTACCCTGTGCACTCATGTCCTGGAAGAGGTAGTGCCCTTTCACAGTCCTGCAGACTGATCTCTCGTGGGTCCCGAGCTATGAAAATATGGTTGTCTTACTGTGCCTTAGGCTGTCGCCAGTACCTGGTGTCCCATTTTCCACATGATAGGCTCTTCTCAAGCCTCTTTTTTTTCTTTCATGTCTGTTTTCCAGACATTCCGGAAATTCCTGAAAGCATCAAATTCTGCAAATCCTTGGAAATTGCAGACTTCAGTGGGAATCCTCTCTCCAGGTAGGAAGGCATATGCAACCCTTTTGTCCAGCTGAGAATGAGAGTTGAAGTTCCTCGTTCCACCTAGCTTTCTCTGGTCTTCATCTTGTAATTGTCTTCCTTTGAAGACAAGGCCTAGGATCACCCTGCCTTTGCCAAGACCTGCAGATATCTGCTCTCCTGACAGGAGGAACACTCAGCATAGGGAAGAGCTGGTGTGTGCTCCCTCTTCTGTGGGGCCTATGGCTTGGATTGATGAGCCTTTAGTCATACTGTTGCCATTGGTGTGAATGGTGAGGACTTTTGTCCTCTTAGAATAAGTTTGTTACTCCCTCCCCATCCCTTCACCCTGGTGCACAAACCAGAATGGATGTGGACTTGTACTGCAGAGGAGTAGAGAAAGGCCTGCATGCTATCTGCTGCTCTCTGTCAGTCCTTTTTTGCTCTCTGTCTTCTTATTTATAACTTAGGATGGCCATCCTTTGAACTCTGTTTGGTCAGTTTCCCTGATATCTCAGTGCCCAGAGCTATGTCCAAGAACGGGGCTCTCTGCCTTGTCTCTTCAGTTTTCTGTATCTACAGCTCTTAATCCATAATGTTTTGGGAATGACTTAATCCATAATGTTTTGGGAATTTTGGCTCCGCTGCCTTGGTGAACCATGCTTTCAGGCACTGGTGTCTTGATGCATTGTCTGCCAGGGTCCCTGTAGATGCCAGTCTGACTCCAGATGCCTGCTGGCCTTTGTGCTCCTGGGCAAGTGCTGCCCAAGTTGCCCTTCAAATAGATTTAACTCTCTGCCTCCCTCTTGTGGTGCCGGACACTGCCAGAATGGGACAAGCTTTTCAGTCGGTGAGAATCTGTGTACCACAGGACTGACCAGCACTTCTACACTAGAAGTTATTTGTCAGAGTCTTTTTGTGGCCCAGAGCTGTAAGATGTGTGTCCTGAGCAGTGGGGCAGGGAAGCTGCAGGAGCTGCCTGTGAACAGCAAAGGATTTCTGCTTTTCACAGGTCTTTCCTCTTCTATTGCACCTTGGAGCTGTTATGATAATACTGCTTGGTCCTGGGGAATGCTGCAGGGTCATCTGCAGAAATGTCCTTAGGTGGGCATTTGGATGACTTGGTAGCCCTCCCTGCTTCCAAGTTTAAATGATCACATGGCATAATTTAGTCTGGGATTCATGGTTGAGTACTGCAGAGCCAAGTTCGCACACTTGGACATGTAGTGACTGGTGCAAGGAGGTATTGTTCTTTTGGAAACGGGGCATATTCAGGATAAGGAGCCAGGGTCAGAGGTGGTTCTTGCTCTTCTCCTTTCCACATGATGATACCAATTGGGATAAGACTGGCTTTTGGGGGATTTAAGTGAGGAATTTAGGGCTTGTTTTGTGCACAGAATTAATGGTGGTTTTGTTCTGTCATGCTTTCACAGGCTTCCAGAGGGCTTCACACAGCTTCGGAGCCTGGGCCATTTGGCCTTGAATGATGTGTCCCTGCAGAGCCTCCCCAATGACATTGGGAAGTGAGTATGCCCCCGTTCCTCATAACAGGGAGGGGGGTTGGGGTGGGGACACTAGCAGGACTTGGAGGGGAAGAGTGTGCCATCCTGGTTACAGCTTGCCACTGTACTCAACATACTGTGTGAGCACCTCTAAGCATTATTCTTGTTAAAAGACAACCTTTTTAAAAAGGTTCCTTTCCTGGTCTCAGCTGCTTCTCCTCCTCTGTGGTCTGTGGCACAGGCAAGGAGTGCATCCAGGCTTCTCAAATCTTCTGTCTTTCCTTATTTTATGAGTGCCTGTTTGCCCCTTTCCAAACAGGTGTGGTCTGTCTGACGATGTTGAAATGATTTATGGTGCTAGCAAATGGCCAAGGCAAATCCTGTGGGGCTTTGCCCATGAGGTGCAGTGCCCCTCCCATGGGATTTGGCTTTCTACACATGAGGGATTTTATCTTGTTGGGCAGACAGTCCTATATGTGATACCATGTTTCGTTGTCCTGAGTTTGGGCACAGTGTTGTTTCCCCATGATTTTGCAATAAGCAGTCGCCTTCATCAGAAGTCATTTAAGATCCTCTTTGTGTTTTGTTTTCCCCTGTCATCTCCATTCATGTGTACACAGTCATGTATATGCATTTGTGCAGGTCATGAGGGGTGGTCCCAAGGGAAGGGATATGAGCATCTCCTTGTATCCCTGAAGCCCTATTCAGTGAATCTGGCTTTCTTGCTCCCTTTTCTCTTGCAGTTTGGCAAACCTGGTGACTTTGGAGCTACGTGAGAACCTGCTAAAGACTCTCCCCACGTGAGTGTCTGTCTGGTGGCTTCAGAAGTCTCCTGCCTGATCGTTCTTACTGATTCCTCAGGGACTTGCTGTTTCTGTAGCACAGGCTCTAGCACTTTGCTTGGGAGGGCTCAAGACTTTGCATAAACTAGCTGCATCTTGCTGGATTTCTGTAAGTTGGGGTAAGGAGGGAGAGAGATGGTACAGGGCTTAAGAGCAGGGAAGGATGTTCAGAGTCTGTACTCAGCCTCTGTGTCAGGATTGATTTGGAATAGACAAGGTTCCACAAGAAAGCTGCTGGAAATGGCAAGAACCATATTTCCTGGAGAGGTAGAGCACATGACAGATTCTTTTGGAAAAAGAGAGAAAAATGTACTGATACAGGTATAGGAACTCTGTATACAGTGAAGTTCATAATTTGAAGAGCAGCAGAATACGGCTGAAGATACGTTTTGCTTCTGACATCTCTGTTTTCTTGGGTATCCCTTCTGATTGTTCTGGTTGAGCAGTTTGTAGGAATGGGTGGGATAACTGACTTTCCTGCAGCAGACAAAAAATAAGCCAGCAAGGGAGAAGAGGTAAGTCTTGTTAAATGTTTCAGAGAGTTAGGGACAGAGATGAATTCCCGGTAGAGGATCTGGTTGGTACAGCTGATGCTATCAGGTAGATAGGATGTGGAGAACTAATGAGTCTGTGCATCAGTGTCTGGTTTGGAGCCAATGATGAGAGTTGTTTGTTGAGTTTTCTAACCTACATTAGCTCTGTCAGCTTGTTTTCTGCCTGCTTATCCATCCAACTGATGATTCCCCCAGTCTTCTTTGAATATATGTTGGAAGGGATTCTACCTGACTTCTTTTTGAATAGCAGTGTGTTTTGGGGCCACACAAACTCCTCAGTGAATGTGTGAAGTATGCAACTATTGTCACCTTTCCTCAGTGCCCTCTTACTATACCTGACAAGTATTCAATTTGGCTGCCTGTACTTTTCCCCCTTGCCCTCTTTTTTAAATAAAGCAGAGGAGCAAAGGAAGCATCTGATGATAGAGTGTTCAAGCAAGGCTTTGAGACTCTAAGCAGTTTGGGCTTTAGTCTTGCTTCTTCTGTGATGGCCATGCCTCCCTCACTGAGATGTTGCTTTGACTCAGGTGCATGCTCTTCCTGATGGTTATTTTCCTCTGGGACCTGCAGGTACAGGCTTTATATGACATCAGTTATATCTGTTTGTAGAATTCATGTGTCAGCTTTGACCCAGAGGACAAGACACTTCCAAAAAGGAGCCGAAAGAGTCTGTACTGGTCAATTCCCAGGCTTCACATCTGGTGATTACACAATGTAGAAGCATAGTTCAAATTAACACTGTCATCTTGTCTCTGATGCCAAAGTCGCTGGATCTTTTCTGCACAGTTGTCGTCAGCCTTAACACCCTGTCACAGAAAGGCGATATTAAAAGACCAGCTGAGATGGCCCCACATGGAATATAGCCACAAGGGAGAATGTGAGAGCCGAAGCTCCGTATGCCAGGCTGAGAACAGGCAAGCAGGAGAAGTTTGGGTCCTGGTGTTGGGACCCACTGCTGTCTGTTCCATGTGTTTTTTGTGTTCATACAGACAGGTACCACCACTGTGATACACCATATAAACGAAGAGGTGCAATAGCTACATCCCAAGTTGGGCTTTCAAACTGCAGTGAAGAATGGTCCCAATGGCTTTTCACCATCTAGGAACCAGCAAGTATATCTGGAGTTTTAGTATTCAGTCTGTGACCAAACCCATATGGTTTCTGGGGAGAGATCTCATGCCCAGTGCTCCCTTGTTTCCCTATGTTAGATTTGTATGCCATCCAGCAAGATACTTTTAGCATTTTGGAGTTTTTCTCTGAAAGATAAGTCTGGGCTTGATACTCATTCTGCAGTGCAATTCCAGCTTCTTTTCATCTTTGCTCAATTCCCCAAATTCTACTTTTGTATGATTTCCAAAAGTAGAATGAGAATCCTGAAGGCCAAGGCAATTTTCATCAGATCTGTCACTCCAATATGAGATCGAAATCAATGGCCAAAGAAATTTCAGTGGTACTGTCAGGTACTCTACCCAGGTCTGAAGCTCTTGTACTTAGTTGGGTTGCAAATTGTGCCCAAGAATGGCTCTAAACAAGTCCAAGTGATCTTGCCAAAGAGCAGAATGACTTATTGAAATGGATGATGCTTTCAGTTTTCAAGGTTACTGAGCCCAGTAGGTAGATGGGCTTCAATACTGTGAATTTGTCACTGCATAATGCATCAGTGTCCTTTTGATTTTTGTTGTTGTTGAGCTCCTTAAAAGATCCAGCTTGCAATGACCTTTACTTGTCAAAATTTAATTTCATTGGTTAGTCTTCTGCTGTCAAGTGAGTTCTGAAACAGTTCATCTTGTACAACTGATTATCACTCCTCATCTGTCCCACGCAGATGGGACACAGCTTGCCAGTAATTTGGGAAGGGTAGCTCTCACTGATGCATTCTCATGCAGTAGTGGAGGGTGATCTATACTGAGGCATTTTGCAAGACCTCATATATCAACATGGATTCCACAGCTCACTTGTCCCGTTTTTGGGAATTCAAACTGTGAAGGTGCTAAGGGACAGTCAAGGCTGCTTCACCCTTCTAAGAAGTCAAAGAGCAAATGTACAGTCATAATGAGAGACTGATATACAACAGAATCCTTTTGATGATCCTGTTTATAAACCTTTGCTTGAGTTAATATAATATCTCAAAATCCACCACCGCATAAGGTAAGAACTTGCTTTTCCTGTGTAGCCCAAATATTTTTATAGCGTGGCCCAGGCAAGACAGATCTCTCTTTTATTGCTTTTTTACAGATTTGCAGCCTCCAACTTCCTTAGCTTGGATGGTGTTGAGATGTATAGCTCTATTTCCAGAGAAATATAGTGATTTCTGTATTAGGACAATTCCTTATGAAGAGAATAAAAAGAATTGAAGACCCTCCCTACTGGGGAAGTGGGCAGGGCTGAGATGGCAGTTCTGCCCCAGTGTGAAGTGAGAGACAGCAACCACTGTTTGGGGAAGTTGGAGATGATGGGGCAGGACTGAGAGCTGAGGACGCATGAACACGTGGGCCATGTCAGAAGAACTGTTTTTTGGGGGTTGCAGACTGCAGCCTTACATATCACCAGGTTGTAATGTGTTTGGATACTCAGGGTACATCCTTGGACCACCAGTGTTGACAGGCTTTGGTTCCCATGCAGGCTTCTCACAGTATCTTGTCTAATGAGCTTCTTGTCTGTATGTCTTGACCTCTTCTGAAACATTGTGCCAGTGTTGTCTTTCCCTTTCTCTTAAGCAGCAGGGGCATCCCATTTGGGGAAACTGAGGCTGTTGGATTTGTCATTCCAGCCTCTCCCAGCAGCTATGCTCCCCTTGCCCCCTAAATATGTATTGTCCTCTGCTGACTGTCTCCTGTTATCTGTTAGTCTGTGCCCAGGTCCCCATCCTTGCTACAGGTAGCAATGTCAAGGTGTGGCTTGTCATCTGTCATGTTTTTGCTCAAAGAGTATTTTATGGTGGGAGAGGGAGAAAGCAAATTGGTGACAGAGTGGAAACTGGCCGCTTTGGGACTGCTGGTGCTACTGAAACCAATTCCCTGGTGCAGATGATCTGGCTTGGGGAAGGGTACCAACAGCTCCCCTAAACTGCTTGGCTCAGAGGGCCTATGAAAAAGATCAGGATTGCCCCACCTGTTTTAGGAGTTATTAAAAATTACGTAATTTGTGAGATGCGTGTCCCAGATGCTAACCTTCTGTTCTTTCTTTCTTTTTTTTTTCTCTCTTCCCCTCTCTACGCCCTGTATCTTGCAGTTCGCTCTCCTTCCTTGTCAAGTTAGAACAGTTGGATCTTGGTGGCAATGACCTGGAAGTACTGGTAGGTGAGGGATGGTGGGGAGGGAATATGGGTGGTTGGTAGGGGCTGAACCCTGTGCCTCTGTGGAAGCAAGTGGTTTTTCGTCTGAAATGCAAAGAAATAGACCTGCAGGTTGTTTGGGAAGATTCTGATCTGTCCACCATGGCCTAGTCATCGTTCCCAGCATAATGTTCTCTTCATGTGTTGGCCCTTGTGTCTTGTTTCCTACTGTCCTCATGCACAACTTGGTCAGCTCTTTCCAAGCACTTTTGCTCTGGGATGTTAATTCTTGCTATCTAGCTGCTTAAGGATCTTTCCTTTCCAATGAGACTCTGTGGTACTTCCTTTCTCATCTGTGTTGCACTACCCCGAGCTGTTGTCTTTTGCTTCTGCTAGGCCAACTTTCTGCCTTTCTCCTTTCTAATTTGATTTCTCTACTGCAAAGTGCAGGACCATTCCATGTTGTTCCTGGCAGTGAAGTCAGCCAAGCATGGGGCATGTGCCCTCTGGTCTAGGGTGCCTCCATGGAGGGCTCTGAGCATAAGCATTCTGAGAGCCAGTGCACAGTCTCAAAATTCAGCTTGTCTTGACATTCAGGGACATCCAGTGATATTCTTTAATTTTGCAGCTATGGATGAAGCTGTTACTGAATCCTCCTCTTAATGTTCTAGAATGCTTTTTGGCAGAAACCCATCTAAATTGAGAGGCAAAGAAGTTCGTGCAGCTTCCTATGCACAAGGCTGCAGCTTATCTGTGAGAACAGTTGTCTGACGCTTGAACCACACTCCAGTAGTGCATTAACTCCAAACCCAAATGCTAATCAGTCTGTGTGGTGTTTGTGGAGTGATGCTATAAACATGTCTACCATTGCTGATGGTGCTGCTATATCACGCTGAGTTGGCCAGTGTTATCCAAATGTTTGTTTTCATGTCTGAGAGGAGGAAGAGGATAAAGACTTATTTCTTCCATAAGGCCAGAATTTCCAAAACCCTGTTTAGTTTTTGTCTTGCCTACTACCAGACAGTCCTTGTTGTTGTCTTCCAGGTTTCCTGCTGGGACCTTCTGCAGCCAGTAGGCCATCCCAGACATTTCCAAACATATGTGCTGCTATATTATGGCACACCAACAGTTAGCTTCATAAACCATTTGGTGAATGGTTCTAGGAGGTGTGAAAGCAATAACAATGTCTAGCCTTGCAGAGGTGTGGTGTGATTTGTAGCATCCTAGAGCAGCTTCTCCCCTGTGGAAGGGACTGATGCTATTACTGTCCTGCTCTGTTACAGCCAGATACTCTGGGAGCACTACCAAACCTGCGTGAGCTTTGGTTGGACCGGAACCAGCTCTCAGCCCTGCCTCCAGTGAGTATCTGTTCAGGGCCATTGATTCACCACTTCACTCCCTTTCTCAGTTGCTCCCTCGAACCGTAGTGTCTCCTTTCTGATCCTAGGAGCTGGGCAATCTCCGCCGCTTGGTCTGTCTGGATGTGTCAGAGAACAAGCTGGAGCAGTTGCCCAACGAGGTCAGTGGGCTAGTAGCACTGACGGACTTGCTCCTGTCACAGAACCTGTTGGAATGCATTCCAGATGGGATTGGTGAGTATTGTGGGATGGGGAGCAGTGTAGGACTTCACTGCCCGGTCAGTGCTCCTGGCGGGGGAGCTTCAGGCAAGAGTGTGTGCAACAAGGTATTAGGGCTTGATGGACATAGTCACAATAGTTGAGTGCAGAAGCAGTAGATGATACTGATGAGCAGAACTCTACAGCACGAGTTCAGGTTCTTGATCTGCATCATCCATGGGTGAAACCTGTGAACAAGCCTGGTGGGGAAGAAAGGTAGTGCCTGTATTGTTAGGTTACATAATCCCTGATGAGAGGCATTTTGCCCAGACGAACACAGAACAGTGTCATTATCTCTGTGGCATAGTTCACACCTAGCTTGTTGCCCTGGCCAGGTCAGCTGAAGCAGCTCTCCATCCTCAAGGTGGACCAGAATCGGCTGACAGAGGTGACAGAGTCAATTGGCGACTGTGAAAATCTGTCAGAACTCATCTTGACGGAGAACATGCTGACAGTAAGTACACCAGCAGCCACCCTGCCTCTCCTGTGCTGTTCAGTTTAGCCACGTGCCAGGGATCTTTTCCCATCTTCTGGCCTCTGAGCTGGATTCCTGAGCATGCTCCAGCTGCTCTCCCTTCAGCTGCTTTGATGCACAGTTTCACCTAGCTCACAGGCTCTTGACAAGACTCTGGTGGAAGCTGCTTTCTCTCACTGTTATTTTCCTCTGAAAAATTCTCTAGGATAGCTAGGATGCTAGCTCTAGGATAGCTAATTCTGAAGCCCATCCAGTCTGATGGGAGCAGGACTACATCAAAAGCTGCATTTGGCAAGGGGCCATGGAGTAGTGTAATGTAAAATGGCCCTGCTCCAAACTGCTCATTATTTGGTTGTTAAAACACAAGTATTGGGAATGGACAGATGAACAGGAGAAGAATCTTGACCAGTGGTGTTGAGTGTGCTGTGCTGAGGTGAAGAGCTGTCATGTAACAGTCTGTGAACCTGAGGGAAAATCTGTCCCAAAGTTGTAGTGAGAACTTCATTGAAAATGTCTGTTAGGACAGAAGGCAGCTTTTTTTCCCCAGATAGAGGGCTTTATCCCTTTATACCTTTATTCTGCGTCTCTTACCTTTTGCAACTACTGAATCATCTCCTTGCTAGGCTTTACCAAAGTCCCTTGGCAAGCTGGCCAAGCTGACGAACCTGAACGTGGATCGGAACCGGCTAACATCCCTTCCAGCTGAGATTGGAGGCTGTGCCAATCTGAACGTGCTGTCCTTGCGAGACAATCGCCTGGCCCTCCTGCCACCAGAGCTTGCCAACACAACTGAGCTTCACGTCCTGGATGTGGCTGGGAACAGGTCAGTAGTAGGAAGAGTAAACAAGCTGGTAGGCATGTTCCTAAGGAGGCTATTGTGAATGAGCAGCATGGGCTGGGCCCTGCTATGTTTTGGGAGACACTGGATCTATGCTGATCTCAGGATCCATGGTTTGGAGAAGACCAGACTGGCTGCTTAGGGCTCTGGAAAGAGGGTGTGTGTGTCTCAAGCTTTGCCTGTTAAGCCCTCCTCCGTGTTACTTGAATACAGGGTAGAACTAATGCAGAAGTTTGGGGACATTTTGCCATGTGTGAAATAAAGATCAGGGGACTTCCCTGGTCCACTGTCTTCCTTCCTGCAGATTTTGTAATTTTGTGTCATCAGTCCTCAGGTGATTGGTGCCGAAGCCTTTTTTGTGATGTGCACAACCCCACAGTGTGCAAGTATCTGTGATCTGTTCTGAAAGATTTTGCAGATTTTAGCTGCAGTTGTGTTAGCTGAGGCTGGTCTTTTTTGTAGCAGTTGGAAGCTGACCAGAGCTTCTGTTTGGAACACTCTCTGTATACTGGTCTGTGAAAGCATAACTTTTCTGTCTTCAAAACCCTCTTCAAAGTTCACCATTTTCACATTGTTGATGGGAGTTGTCCTCTGCTAAAAACTGATGAGGGTGGGTTACTGGAGTCCAGTCTGTGGCTGAGCGATATGCAGCATGAGCCAGCTGCTTCAGTGTGTATAAGAGTGAGGGATCCTGCAGTGGCTTGGCTGTGTCCTTCTCCAATGTAGGTGAGGCAGTCTGAGTTGAAGTTTCTTCATTGCCAAGTAAGTTTAACCAGCAGTTCTTTTCTTTTGCAGACTGCAGAACTTGCCGTTTGCTTTGACAAATCTTAACCTGAAAGCCCTGTGGCTGGCAGAAAATCAGTCCCAGCCCATGCTGAAATTTCAAACAGAGGATGATGAAAAGACAGGAGAAAAAGTTCTCACTTGTTACCTGCTTCCCCAGCAGCCCTCTCCTAGTCTAGGTAAGAGACTGCCTTATGAACACTGTCTGCAGTACCATGTACTCTGGAGAGTGCTGTAGGGAAGAGGCCTTGAACCTTCCTCTCTGCTTGGTTGGACTGTTCTTCATTACTGTGATACCTGTAGCAGACCTATGCTCCTGAATGGCTGATGGCAACTTTCCAAGGCAGAGATTGTTAAAACTGAGAAATTGCTTCTCTGCCAGGTAGTAAAGAAGCTGCAGCCTAGTCTTCAAGTCTTCTGCTTTGATCTATTGACCGAGTAGTTCATTGTCTGTAAGGCTTGCTTCCTGTCATGATGATACTCTTGTGTCAATACTTCTGATTCCTGCCTTAATCCTACCTTTTTCCTTAGTTCTTGGGTAAGGAGTGCTAGAGCTGAACCATTCAGGTCCTTTTGTGGAGGCTGCTGTAGATCTGGTGGGAGATGTACAAGAGGTGACAAGATCTGGAGGCTACATCCTTTGTCCTCAAGGCCTCTGTGGTTTGATGCCATGGGCAGATACAACAGAAGCGCCCTAATGGGTTGAGAACTGTCTTTCATCCAAGCCTACCACCCTGCCCGTTCAGTAGCTCCCACGGTATTGTCTTTCTCCCCAGAGAATCTTTTGCAGAACAGTGTGGATGAGAGCTGGACGGACACCAATTTAAACAGAGTCAGTGTGATTCAGTTCCTGGATGAACCCAAAGTAGATGACGAAGAGGAGTCTGGAGCTGAGAGACGGGTAAGAAGAAGAGTTTCTGAAGGCTTGTTAGCTGCTTATGGAAACATAGGCACATTCTAAACTTTTTCCTAAGATGGGGAGCTATTATGGTGTTCATGTTTCACTCTGTAATACTGCTGCAGACATGTACTATATTTTTGCAATCCGAAGGGCATTTGGTGCCCTGAGGAGACAAGCAGGTATAAAAGAGAATTCCTTGAGAGCCTTTGTGCAGATTTACATTTTGACGTCTGTCCCATGGGAGTTGAGCTGTGACTGCTAAACCTGCCCATGGAGCATTCGGGTAGTCCAGAGATCCTAATAGTCAGAGCGCTGTCAGGACTGGATTTTAGTTGACCCCCCTCATGGGGAAGAGCTGCACAGCCAAACTTGAGCCAGGCGATCTCCACCCCTCCAAGCATGGAGCCAGATGCAAGCCCATGCTGTGGAGTATCCTGTTACTAAAGTAGCTAAACACTGTAGACAGACAGCCTCAAAAACTATGGAAGATCATTTTGCTTTAATTGCAGATACAAAGGGCAGGATGAAAGTTTTCAGCAAGTACTCTGTTGGTTTAAATCTCCTGCAGGATTTTTTTTCCTTTTTATCCTGGGGACAGATTTTTTTTCTTTTGCATCTGTCCTTGCAGCATGTATATGCTGTTGGTGTTTGGAGGTTTTGGGGGGGGGGTTTTGATTGTTTTTAACATTATTATTAATTTAAAATATTAATTATTACATTATAACATTATTATTAATGTTAAAATGTTAATGTTAATTTAGAATACTGTTTTTCTTGACTCTTAGCTGGGATGGAACTAGCTAAGCATCACAAATTCTGGTAGTATACAGGCTTGTCAGACATGTTAAGAAACACCAGAGGGATTAAGAAGATAGTCTACCTGTGTGTTCCTTTAGGGGTTTCTGTGTTGACAGTTTCGCATTTACTAAGCCTGAAGCACAGTTTAAACTTCCTGTCTCTATAATTCCTCCCAATCCCTCTATCAGATGGAGAGCAGGATAATGTCTGAGCGTGAGCTCTGAGAAGTGTTATCTGCTTCCATTTCTTTCCTCTTGCCAGCTGCAGGCTATAGTAGTGGAGAGGCCCAGATTAGATCCTGCAATGCAACGTTTAGGTCATGTCCTGCTGGGGTTCTAGCACTCTGATAAAACATGTTATTTGAAGTGGTTCATTATTGAGGCACGGCACATGCTCCTCTGACTGTTGAATCTCCTGCTCTGAGTGTTTTTCTTTGCTAGGGCTTACAGCGCAGAGCAACCCCTCATCCCAGTGAACTGAAGGTTATGAAGAAAGTGATTGAAGTTCGGCGCAATGAGGTATATGCTGCAAAGCCTGACACGGACCTGAATTCTCCTAACTCAGAAGTGAGTGCTGTTCAGTAAGAAATGGATGACCATAGAGAACATGGAGCGGACTTGGGGAATGGGGAGGCAGTATGTGTAAGCTGGGCAGAAAGAACTTACTTTTGGGAAAGATTGGAAGGGACTGAGCATGAATCGCCTGAATTCCAAGGGCTGGAATCTGCTTTGTGGTGTCAGCTAGGGCCACTGAGATAGAGCAAGAGGTGCAACCAGGAGACTGAGAACAATGTAAGGGGAATTGTGTGCATTGGTACCACTTTTGTCATAACACAGGGAGAGGAAAAGAAGGCTCTGATATTCCCAGTAAAGAATGATGGGAACAGAGTGCTCAGAGGAGGCATCTTGCTGCCCAGGTGTGATACTAAGAATAAATGCCTACACAGATGGTGGAACAGGGGTAGACCTAGGTGAGATGCAGCAGGCTTGGCAGGGAAAGCAGCGGGCAGCCTGAAGAAAAACATAGTTCTGTTGGTACTGGATCATACCCCACCTCACACCAGTCACACTACATTGCTCCATCTGCTGCTTTGGTTTCCATCTTGACTTTTACTATCATCTTCTCAGGAGAAGAGGCTGAGCGCCATGTCAAATCGCAGTGAGGACTCCCACCTTTCCAACAGCACTGCCTCTGCTGACTTTAGGGGAGAGGAGCAGGGAGAGGAGGGAGAGAGGAGCTGGCCAAATGGGCAGGTGCCTGAGATGCAGGAGCTGGAGAAGGAGGCAAAGCCCAGAGCTGAAGAGGAGCATAAGGAAGCTGCTGACCAAGAGGAGGAAGATGTGGAAGTGGAATACAATGAGGTAGGAATCTAGGAACTGCAGCAGGGTCATGATAAAAAGTGGAAGGACTTGAAAGTTTCAGAGAAAATGGTAAATAGATGTAGAGTGAGATTTGGGCATCACTGGAGGCAAATATAGGCTGTGGAAGCCAAGTGCAAGTAGACATTCAGGCAATTTGTGGGAGCTGGCTCCATGGGAAACTAGGAAGGACAGTGTGGGAACCAGACAGGGACCATGGGAAAATCAGGGCTACAGATTTGAGCACCCTCAATCCCTGGAGCTGACAGAAGATGTGTCTGGGTGAAGGAGTTGATATGGAAAAAGGCAAGTATGGTGAAATTTTAATGTATATTCCTGCATCTTCTTTAGCACAAAAGCAGCAACAGTGGCTTTGCCTGTGTTGGTAGTGGGGGACAGCAGGTTTCTGCACTGCCTCCAGATAAAGCTATTACCTGAGGTTCACAACCTTTCTGGGGCTTTGCCATTGTAGCCCACTGTACACTTTGCTGAGGACACACTAATACGGAGTGAGGATGAGGATGAAGATGAAGAGCGGCCATTCCCAGTGGAGAAACAGAGGCTTATCCGCAAGGACACGCCCCATTATAAGAAACACTTTAAGATAACTAAACTGCCCAAGCCAGAGGCAGTGGTGGCACTCCTGCAGGGGCTGAACAGTGATGGAGTCCCCAAAGAGGAAGAGGAGTTAGGAGGCTGCAATAACAACACAGAGCCCGAAGATCAGGAGGACGCGTGGGATGAGGATGACAGAAAGAATGGAGCTTTATCTGCTCAGCCATCAGTGAAGGTAAGGTCTTGTGGGGAGGGGAGAAGGTCAGAGGGGTACCAGACCTCCCTTCTGCTACTTTGAACTACCAGCCAGGTTGATGTGGTACCAATGAAAACATTGGCAAGAGGCTCCAGCACTTCAGGAGAGACACGCTGAGGGTGGGAGAGCTGAAGTTCGTTCTGGGGCCCATATGATCGTCCGAGAGCTGTGCCATGTTGCTTATGTCTGACTCCTTGTGCTGCATCCAGATTCTTGCACCCTCCCCATTATGTGTGATGATGTGTTCTGTGCTGCAAGAACAGTTCTTTTGTCCCATCACCGACAGGTTCTTCTGTTCCTTTCAGTTGCCTCCTTGCTTGCTGGTTGTTGCACCTCATTTGCAACAGGATGAGCTTTATCCCTGGATGGATCTAATCTCAGGCTTATGTTCGGGCTGCTTACACTTGTCTTTCTGCCACAGTGCTTCCTGGAGAGGGGTGGGTAGTGAGAGCAGACAGGAGCGTGCCCTTCCCGTTGGTTCCACCCTGTGCCTGCCCCAGCGCAGATGCAGTCTGATGAAGTGTGCATTGGGATTTAGGGGAACTTGTGCTCTGGAGTTTTGCCGTTACCATGGGCCATGGGGCTGTGATGGGCCTTTCTAGTTATGCTGGGGGCTGATGAGATAGGAGGTCCTTGGCTCTTCTCAGCTGAATCGCCATGTTTGCTTAGGGACACACACAGATTCTTGCTTGAGGAAGATCCTCACAGTGGAATAGGAATATACTGATGAGGGACAATGCATGAGGTTAGATCAATTCTTACTGAAGTTGGTGTGATGATTTTGTGAGATGTATTTGGCAGGCAGGGATTAGGATGTGGCTGAATCTCCATCATAGTCTGACACCAACAAATCTCATGGGTGAGATGTGGGTCTCTGAACTGGTAGAAGCTGCGGGAGTAAAATCTGTTCCTGCTGTTACTACGCACACTGCAGACTTTTGGGATCATTTCCACCGCTCGAGTTCAGATTGCTCAGGGGAAGGTTCTTGCACTCAAGTTTGCTTTGGAGCCTTTCTCTCAGTGGATGCTTGCCTTGCTGTATCTGAGCTGATACAGCTCATCCCTTGCTCCCTAGGGACGAGGCATGTAGTTTCCTTACTGTTCATGAAGTTCTTCAGAATGAAAAGGAGTCGCTGCTGCTTGTAAGGATGCATGAAGCTATCTTGAATCCCCTTCATCCAAGACCTGCCATACTTAGGAAATGCCCTCACCCAAAAAGCTTATTTTAGTCAGGGACTGAAAGCTGAGGATGCACTGACCCATTGGCAAAACCTGTAAAGTCTACATAGGCGTTGAGACCACAGGTTTGGTGTATCTATGAGAAAGTTACCTTTGTTATTGACTAAGCCTTCTGCCTGGAAATCACAGTTTTCCTTTTCATGAGGCTGGATTGGATGTCTGCTCCATGAAGGCAGATTTATTAGCTTGCCTCCTGAGCTGTCTTCCAGAAGTGGGAATGTGGGGAGCGGTGTCCCTGTGCAGTGGAGTTTCAAGTAAGAGGTGCTGCATACATGCATTGTAGAAGGCAGTAGGACAGGGTGTGCAGGAGGCTGAATCCTTAAACCAGAGGTTTTTTTTGCAAAGGCGGTTGGTTTTCAAGAGAAATTCTAAGGTTTCCTGCATTTGGGAGCAGGATCCCTGGGTGTCTGGCAGGATGCACTGTTCCACTGGAGGCTCTTCCCTTTGCAGGAGGGACCAATGCATTTTGATTTGGGATCGCTTCATTCCTGTGCAGCAGCTGGGTGGCACCAGAGGTCCCTTTGTGCTTTTCTCCTGTGTTGTTTAATCCTTTCTTCTTCACTGGATGACTTGGTACAGAGGGGGTAAAATCAGCTAATACTGTTAAGCTTGTGAGCTTGGTGGTCACAGCCTCAGAGTGCCAACACAGACAAAATACGTCCTTAAAGATGCAGCTTCCAGTTAGCTGGGCCAAAAAGCGCTGACACTCTGCATGTTGTGAGTCCCGGGAGCAGCCCTGTCGCTGGTACTCGCTGGTAGGTGGTAATCAGGAGTGGTGTGAGTGGGGTCTGCTCTGGTGCTGTGTGGCCAGACCTATCAGAGCGGCGTGCGTTTGTGTGTTGGGTGGTGGTGGTAGTGGTGGCGGGTTTGGTTTATGCTCCACTAATCCGCATGCCTCTTTGCTGGTTCCTGTCCTAACAGGGGGTGTCGTTTGATCAAGCCAATAATCTGCTGATTGAACCTGCTCGCATTGAGGAGGAAGAGGTCTGTACCACTCCTACTGTTCTCTGTCTGCCAAAAATCATTCAGTCTGCTTGATTTGCTTCCCAGGCTCACCCATTGTTGTAGGGGAAACTCTGATCTCTCTGGGTCAAGTGGCTTCTGGACCTGACTGATCACAAACACACAATGATTGTTTCCTCCCCTGCTTTCACCTCCTTTCCCTTACCTGAGGTGAGAATGGCTGCTGCAGATCAGGAGTGAGATGGAAGAAATGTAAAAACACGAAAGCGGGCTGAGATGGAAAGTTCAGTTCCTATTTGCTGTGCACTGAGGAAAGGGAAGGTGGAAGAAAATAAATGCATACTTCTGGGAGTGGTGGGTAACCCTGAAGGAGTAGAGGCCATAGGAATCTGAGTGCTGTGTATGAGCCTTTGGGAGAGGGAGGAGGATCTAACTCAGGAGCTGTGCCATTGCATGAGAAAGGTGGACTGGAGCTAATGACTCATGCATCTCATGCAGCCGGCCATATAGAATCCCCTCAGGTTATCATGTGGAGCACTTTGGGATGTCAGAAAGGGGCAGGTGGCACTAGAGGGTCCATAAAGCCCCTGGCACATGTGTGGTGTTCTGTGCCAAAGTTTAAAGTCTTGTGTCTTGCTGCCTTAGCTCATCTTCTGACTATGATTAACTTCCTGAATTTGTTTACAAGTTTTCAGTAGGCTTGCCTGCTCCTTTGGGTTAGTGGGCTTTCTGCAGGCAATGTTTCCAAGGAACTGTTGGAAGCAGAGTGCTGCTGCCACTGGTAAGAGGCAGAAACTGTTGTCAGTACTAATGGCTTGCATGAAAGTTTCTTCCCTTAGGACAGTACAATGGTACCAGACCCATGTATTACATGAGAGTGCTGGCCTGGTTGTCTCTTTGAACTTGGCTCTTTGCTACTCCTTGAGGTGTAAAATGGAGGCTTTTCTTTCTTGGTTTTGGAGTAAGACTTTCTGGGAGGGAGGTGACAAATCCCTTCCACTTCAGGTGAAACATGAGCTGGCTCAGATGTGGTCCACTGTTAGTGTGTCCTGAAGATTTGTCCATCTTAGCTCTAGATCACTGAAAAAGGTCTTTATTTCTTGCGTTTCTCTTTTGCATAGCTCTTCTGTCGCTCAGCGGCAAAACTAAGTATAGCCAGGTGCTTCCTGATCCCTCATTTGGGAAATCACTGCTCTTGGTCCTTCTTTCCAGCTGTTAGATGCCATGTTCCATTTGCAGAGTTTTCTTGCTTCTTGAGGTGCAGTGGCCCAGGAAACCTCAGTCTTGTATCAGGAAACAGCCTACCTGCCTCTTCCTTGGCTCCTGCCCGTGCTCCGCCTGCATCTGATGGAAGGGCCTAGAACAACTCTGTGGTGGCTGGAGAGGGTAGCTGGTTAGAGGCCCCAGGTTTGCTCTGGTGTCCCTGCAGTGCAGTCTCCTTTGTGCAGATCTGTTCCCTCACTGTAAAGAGCAACATGGTAGTGCAGCTCCCAAGGACAAGCATACTAGAGATCCACCAGATGGGTGGTGGTAGCTGAAGTTGCCCTATCCTGCAGCTCTGGGGGAGTGCTCAGCTGAGTGGATGGTTGCTGACCTCTCCAGTCAGTGATACTCTGTCATTTTAGTGGAGTCATGCTGGGCATCTACCAGGACTGCAGCTCATGTGGAAGATTCAGTCTCCAGAAACATCAGTGAAAGCAAACCGTGGGACTCAGCCTGAGTGCTGTGAGAGCTGAACTCGAGCACTGCGCGGTTGGGACACCTCAGTCATGCTGAGAGGGGTGCTCTTGCCATCTTTCCTAGCACGTGGGCTGTGAAAAGCACGTGCCTCTCAGTGAATAGTTGGAGGACAACAGGAGAAATATTCAGGCCTTAAAGACTACTTAGCATCTGAGTAGAGAATTATCTTGGGAAGTGACTGATCCCAGAAATAGCATCTACCTTGCTGTTTTTGGGGATGACTTCATGTCCTTGAGAAAAGCCTGTTATAGCTAAACCAATGGGCTGATGAAACTGAGCAAGACCATTGCAGAGTGGAGAGCCTGGTGCCCCTTGAGCAGCACAGTTTAAGTTCATAATGCTGCTATAACATTCCTTGCATAATTTTATACAGCTCTCAGAGAGAAGGAACTACTGATTGTGTGTTCTTTAAGCCTAAACCATAATCCTGAGCTGAAGACTAACCTTGCCAGAGTAGGGCTGGAGACATCTGCCTAACTTCTGTCAGCACCCCAGCATCAGGGTGTAAGAGCCTGGTGCTATGTATGCAACTGGTACTTCCAGAGCTCCTTTAGTGCCAATGAGACACTACTACAGTGAAAGCAATAATTTTGTTAAAGCATGTGATATCTGATAGTGGATATCTGGATTCCACTGCTGACTCTATTTTGTCTCAGTCTCCATCCGCACTGCGGAAATGGCTGTATCTGGCTTTTAGGGAGACTTTTGGAGGAGAAAAGAAGCGTATCAAGCTGCTATTTGAAGGCACGAGGTTGCACCTGAAGTCTGTTTTCAGATAATTTTTGAAGAAATAATCCAGAAAGAGCTGCTGTTCAGATTGAGGATAATAGTGGAAAGAGGGTCCCAAATTCCGTTTAAGTGACCGATGCTTCTTTGTCTGCAATAATGGCTGATGTCATCCTTCTGTGTTTGCCCAGGCTTAACCCGTCTTCTGCAGAGCACCTGAAAATATAGGAGTCATGAAGGGGTCTACACTGGCAAAACTTGTGCTGACTGGGGAGCTTTATAGGTTTTTGCTTCTACTGTGATGCCTTCTCCCAGCTGCACAAGGCTATCTAGGAAGGATATGCTGCTACTTTCCCTTCCTAGGAAAAAGCTAGGCTGATCTTAGATGTCCAAAGTGCCTTGACTTCCTTGCCAGAGGGTGGAAAAGACCCTGTCGGCTCCTTCTGCTCAGATATCCTGTCGCTCTGGAGTCAGAAACAAGTCAAGTCGTCTCCTTAAAGGAGTCTTGTTCTCTCGAAATTGATCAGAATATTACTGTTTGTGTTTGAATGCAAGCCTCACTTTGGCACCACAATTACTGTTTGCCAGAGGCAGACTGTGACAGCACAGCTAGGTCCTGAAGCATCCGGTGTTAAGGGGCTTCAACTTTGAAAAGGTTGGCCTGCTTAGTGCATAACATCGGGGTGCTCTGTCATCAATGAGCAGTCCTGTTCATCTCAGTGATGCTGCTGCATTGCTGCCTTTACACTTGGACCTCTGCGCCTTGGTCTGCTTTTATTGTTTACTGGGTGAGACTGCGTACTCATCAGGACATTGTCAGGCTTAGAATTCTTATGTAGCAAACTTGATTTTCCTGCAATGTGACCTGTAAATTTTAAACCCTGAAATGATTAATAAACCTCTCTTGTATAATGCAAGAAAGATCATGTCACCTGTGTTTGCTCAGCTGGCTTGACTAGAATATACTTTCTCACAGAGTCCTCTTAAAGTTATGAAAAGATACAACACTCTGCTTTCTCTCATTTAATTTTTTAAATGACTAAAGTTCCCATTGAGTAAGGAAAAAATATGCCATATTTTCTGTTTTAATTTGTCTGGCTTTTAATTTATTGCCATAAGAATGTTTTTATGACTTTTTCCTACTGGTTTGAAGGGCCCTTAGTATTCTTATGCTGTGACCCTCCCAACAGTTTGAAAGTAGGGATTGTAGTCTCTTCTTGTAGATGTACAACTTCACATTGAGGTCTATTAAGGCACAGTGTGAATACGATTCACCTACAAAGTGACAGAGGTTACTTGTGATTGCTGCTTATTCATCATAACATATCACTCTGTGTCAACTGCAAATTTTATCTGATCTGGAGCTTTCTTAAGGACCAAGTAGCAAACTGTGATATGATTTCTCACACAAATGCATAACTATCTGCAGAGTTTCCTTTTCCTGCTCTAAGATTGTGGCACAATGATCTGGTTTGCTTTCTCAAATAGAAAGAACAGAAAGCAAGAGAGGAGCATTTTTTAACAGAGAGAGAAGATACCGTGTTTAAACAAAACACTGTGAATCTGATTTTCGCTTTCGAAATAGGAAAACATGATGTATATAACAGATACGGGTCTTGCTTCTTAGGATGAGGATTATATGAAGAATTTAGGCATTAAAATAAGCCCTGTAGAAATTAATGGGGCTTAAGCATTTGCATGCCTTTAAAAACTGGTCCCTATTTGCAAGCTCAATAGTATTAGGAAAGACATGGACCTGTTGGAGCGGGTCCGGAGGAGGGCCACAAAAATGAGCAGAGGGATGGAACACCTCTGCTGTGAGGACAGGCTGAGAGAGCTGGAGGTGTTCAGCCTGGAGAAGAGGAGGCTGCGGGCAGACCTTATTGCGGCCTTTCAGTGCTTAAAGGGGGCCTACAAGAAAGATGGGGATAGTCTTTTTAGCAAGGCCTGCTGCAACAGGACAAGGGGTAATGGTTTTAAACTAAAGGAGGGTAGATTTAGACTGAATACAAGGAAAAAATTTTTCACAATGAGGGTGGTGAAACACTGGAACGGGTTGCCTAGAGAGGTGGTAGGTGCCCCATCCTTGGAAACATTCAAGGCCAGGCTGGATGGGGCTCTGAGCAACCTGATCTAGTTGAAGATGTCCCTGCTCATTGCAGGGGGGTTGGACTAGATGACCTTTAAAGGTCCCTTCCATCCCAAAGCATTCTGTGATTCTGTTTTCTGACTGTGTCTTTCTGTGGAAAAAGATAACTCCTAGAATAGTTTTGAGACTTTGTGATGGAAGACACTCACCAGCTTGGATCTGGGAACTGAAAGGAGGCAAGATTGGGATAGGTTGCCATTTCTGGAAGATACACCTTAGTCAAAGCTCTGTGCTCAATTCAGGAGCAACAAGCTAAATTTACGATGAAGATAACATAGATTATTTGGAAGAAATCCTGAAGTCAAGTCTCCTACCACCACTAGCAGCCAGATACTCTATTTCATAAGTCAGTCAAACTTTTTATTAAATATAGATTGTTTCCTCCTGTTACTCAACGTAACACGCT